CACACACACACACACACACACACACACACACACACACACACACACACACACAAGCACACATACACACACACCATGGTTTTTTTCCTTATCAGTAGCCATCCAGCTTCTCTTCTTCATATCAGGCTCTCTGCTAGGTGCTGGAGATTCATCTGTTTTCCTACTATGATGAGAAAGGCAGCAGCATCTTTTTTTGTTTTGAAATCAATCAAACCAATATTCCAAGAGATCAAAGACTTAACCATCGTCACACACCCATCCCTGCAGTGCAGAGCAGGTTCCAAGGCTGGTGGAGAACTATGACTTAGCTCTTGTTAGGCTGGACATTGCAGTATGGCTGGCCTTCTTTAGCTCTTCTAGGGATTAAAGTAAGGACAATCTGAACCAGTGTACTCTTCACCTTGCACAGGCCATTGGTCCCACGTTTCACAGATGTCATCCAAGGAAGCCAATTCTAGTACCTCAGCTCATGAAGGAGAGAAGGGATTGTTTTCCTTGCTAAGAGCAAGTGCTTTATAGATATTTGACTTGGCAAGTGTTTACTGAGTACCTACTGTGTCTAGAGTGTTAAACAATTTTGGAATATTAATTAGAAACTAAAACCAGTGAAGACTTCCTTATAGAACTTAATTTTAATCATGGAATTAAGGCAGTAAACAACAAAATTAGCAACTACAGGGTAAAAACAAAAGAAAATACAGATCAGTGTTAGGAAGAGCGGGAGAGTGGTGGATTGGGGAAACTGGGGCCAGAGAATTAAAATTAGAGTAATAAATTAGAGTGAGAAGAATTTCCTAAAATAAAAGGGGGGGGGGAACCTTGAGAAAAGCAAGTAGAGAGGGATCCTTGCAGCCCCAAAGGCAGGAATGTTAAATGGAAGGGACAGCCTCTGTACAACCCTTGGACAGGGTTTAACTCTGGAGGCAGAGGGCAAACCAATAGGTTTCTGGGAGTGAAAAAAAGAGATGAGTTGCCAGAGCAGAAGCCTGGCAGAGCAGACAGTAGTGGGCAACAATGGGGTGTATAGCAGGATGGAGAAAGCTATGTATGGGAAAGTGAGCTATGCAGGACAGGACTCTTGTATAAGATCTGCTAAGAGACACCTGCTCTGGGCTAGAAATTCTCAATAATCATAAAGTAGAATATACTAACACAGTCCTAGAGCAGAGCTAGGTTCCTCCACATGTACAGCTTAGCATCCAGTGTTGCAGCTTCCCAG